ACTTTGCAAGGCTTCAATCTTCTTGCTTCTCTTTTGATGCTTTCGATAAATTTGAAGTACTTGGAGCCTCTTGCGACTAAGGTATGTTTTGATTTCTTTACTCGGATTTCTGATTATTTTTTGGTTTTAATATTGGATTTGGCTAATTTCTAATTTTTTTTTGGTGTAAATAAATGCATGATTATTCACTTTTGCGGTGCTGTCCCAAGTCTAAAGTTCTCATTTTGTGGGCTATGTTTTTAGCGTTGAAAACCTTGAAAAGCAAATTTTTGGGGGTAGTACTACATGGTTGTATGTGACAGGGATACATCATTTCACTCATGAATGTGGTTCTTCTGGGACTGCGACTTGGGCCTAACCAAAATTTTGGAGGTCTTTAATTATCCATTTGGACTTGGTGCTGCATTGTTCAATGATGTATTGATCAGTTATGTATGAAATTTTAAAATCCACTGATCGATTTTCGAATCTCAAATGTTACAGTCATCAATCGGTCAATAATATTCATGAACCAAATGATTAGACAAGTGAACTTTGATATGTAGCACATAGATTCCTGTCTCAATTTCAAGAATCCTATTCCTTATGTGCAAGGTAGGGATCCTTAATCCTTGCAGGAGAAACAACGGTCTTATTTTGCGATGCCATTTTATTGTAGATTGATTAGTACAAGCTTAGGGTTAATCAAAGACAATTTTGTAGCTCTACTAATATTCACTTTGAACTAATTGCAGGTTATGTTTGAGAGGATGAAATTGGAGAAAGAAGAAGGTAGAGGAGTCGAGAGCTCTAAAGAAGAACAGTCCGACGGAGTGGTTGATTCAATAACCGAGCCATCGTCTGTTAAAGCATCAAGCACCGCAACTAAGACTTGTCCATCATCCTCTACTCCTCATGAAAGCCCAGAAGCTGCAGCTTCACAATGTGAGATAGTCAGATTGAGTGAGGCACTGAGGAAGTTGAATACAATTTCATCCTTCCTCAATGTCTTGACTCTAATGGCCCTCACTTGGCACCTTGTACATTTGGGACAGCTGCTTTCACGCATCTAGTTGATAAGAATGCCGATACAATGTGTTGGTTCTTGTTGTATAACTTTATCGTAGTTGTAGCCTTGTATGGATGGTCTACGTTTTGCTATAGGATTTACTTGGGGTAGCTGATTGATTTGTTAGAATTTGTGAAGCATGAAAATTTTCTTGCAAAAGGAACCAACTTATGGTAATGTATGTTGTGTAGTGTCTGTATGATATTTAATCATTTTGATCCAGTTGCATCAAATTCTTATAGTTACATTTCATGCATGAATCAATTAAAGAACCTTAGGTTGGCTAAGGAGGTCTTGGTCTGAGAATTTAATTAAAGAGCCTTAGTTGGCTGAGGAGGTCTTGGTCTTGGTTCTGATAGTTAAGATTGAAGTCCTAGAAATTAGGGATTCTGGGTTTAAATCCTCGTCTTAAGTTTCATCCTTTCCTTGTTAGGAAATTTTTTTTTTTTTTTCAAAAAATGTCTTCTTGGTGTGGTAGGTAACTTGTTTGTAAAGCCTTGTTAAAGTGATGAAGATAATTTTGTTATCATGTATGATAGTGATTAATGGTTCATCTCATTGATATGAAAATTAAGTGATACGTCTAAAATTTTAAGGGTGTTGAGTGATATTATTATGAATTTTAGAGGAGGTATTTAAATTATTTCTAATCAAAAGGATAGAAAGTTTACAAGTTTAGAGGGCAAAAAACATATATATATTTAATAGTTGGAGGGTTAAAAGTCGACCAACTATATAATTTAAGAGTAATTTAGATTTGTTGCCCAATTAAATCGTCTATTTATGGGTGAATTCTTACTTTGTGATGGAAAAAAAAATGATTCTACAACAAGGGCGTTTTTTGAATGAGTTTCTGTAATTGGGGTGTTCGCATTCTCAGAATGCGAGCTCAATGAGGAGCTCACCGCCAAGCCTCCATTTCGAAAAAAAAAGGCAAAAGTGCACAGACGAAGCAGAAGTGCCTTTTATAGCTGTCGAACAGAAAAACAAAGAATACGAAATTGTACGTAAAAGCACAACAAAGAAAACAGAGGTGGTCGAAGCATCCAAAGACCGGAGCTGAGCGGATGTTCCAAAGACTGGTTCCGCGCGTGCCGCTTGCCAAAAAATTTTCTGCATTGCCGTCCCAACTCTCCAACAGCATAAAGGTTAGGCTTTTTCACTTGCAATGCCTCACTAATAGCATTTTAAGTTTAATTAATACTTGAATACCTGAATCCAAGACAAGTTCAGATTTGTGGTGAAATTTGGGTTTAAATTTGACGTGGGTTGTTCTTATTTTTGCATTTTTTGTGGATGGATTTGAGGATATACGTTATATTTTTCGAGCTCGTACAATGTTTGCACTCTCCAATGTTGGAGCAGTTTATTTGCCGTTTCTGCAATTAGTGCAGAAAAAGCATGATCCGAGCTCGGATACAGGATAAACACAGACAGATCCGAGCTCGGATGTTTTGGATACGAGCTCGGATCCATAATTGTTCACCCGGATCCGAGGGCTCGTCTGATCATCCGTTGACACAGATCCGAACCCTGTTGGATCCGAAGGATGCCATAAATTATCCGAGCTCGGATCTCTGCATTTCATAATACAATGCGAGGTGTGGTTTTTTTTTAAATTTTTTTTTGGGATGCCGTAGTTCGAAAATTCGAGCTCCGTGAGTTCAGTTTTGGTGAATGCGAAGACCCTTTGTACGTAGTCCCATTTGTACGTAGTCCCATGCTCAAAATGCCCCATTTGTAGAATTCTTTTAAAATTCATCATAATTTTTTTTTTAAATCTACTGCGCAGCTATTAGTTTTGGTCGAAACACTATCTACATTGGACAATGTATGTTTTGCAATTGGAGCTTAGAAATTTGGGATGTAGTTTATAGATTGGAGTTTTTGCATTTCATGGATATTTGGATTGTGAGCCCCTTTATAGGGGAGACTATGTCGATATTTTTGTAGATATTTCTTTGTGAGGGCAACTGACTATTAGGTAATTTATTTTATATTACAACTACCATTCCTTATGCATAAGGCTTAATTCGGATTTGATACAAGCCATTAGCTAATTTATGTTATATTACAACTATGGATATTTTTGGTCACTTTGACGAGACGATGGTTTGTTTAATTTTGTGAGCCGTAGAAAAAGGCGGTAGAACATGAAATACCAATTTATTTTAAGGCGAATTGATGGATTGAAAATCACTGACCAACCTTGTAATGTTTTTTGTAATTGGCAAAATCTATAATGCTAAAAAAGTGGCAAAATAAGTTACAGGGAAAAACATTAATTTTGTAAGATTCATTGGTATAATATCACATCATTGTCAATGTGGATCTTGTTATGCGGTGTGAATGTGGAGCCCAAATATATATAACTTCCGGTACATTTCTTACGCTTGTATATTTCTTACCCTGTTTGGATTTGCAGATAGAGAGTTGTAGTCTATTTTTAAGGGAGGCTCTGTCCAATTTTTCCAAAAACTTCGTTCGGAGTTTTAGGCGATTCGTATCGTCATTTATAGTATATTTCATACATGTTTTCAATTTTTTCATAAACATCTGGATCGAAATTAGTCTAATTAATTGTTCCAATTTCGACTTAGAGTCCACCCTCTTTCATTTGTTTGGACCCTTGGACTACTAATTTTAATTTATTGTCCTAAAAATAGGGATACATTTCACAGACATGTCTGTAGAAAGACCTCTGCGGGTAAACCTATACTGGGGAGGACAAATACATTACGAGGGTGACTTTGTTTGTTATTTGCCTCGTACTTCCAACCGGACATTCACTTTGAGGCATAGAATTGGATACGGGGAGTTGGTTGACAGGATTTACCACTATATTGGGGTCGATAAAGGGGTGTTCAAGCTGAAATTGTTTCTTCGTCAACTGTTGGAGAGTTCCAAATATACTGTTTCCGCAGTGGTGGATGATGAAACTCTTGATGTAATGTACGATCTTTGGATCGAAAGAGTTTCATACATGGCGGAGATTTATATCGAGAAGGAAGAAATCGTCCAAATGCCCAGAGTTAATAGAGTATTCACTGGACCAATAGGTAATGTTGGTCCAATGATGTCGCTTGTACATGCATTCATGGATCCAACAAAGTTTAACTTTGGTTCTAGTTCAGTCGTTCAAGAGACTTCATCGGCATGTCACTATATGCATGATGATCGATCTATGTATTCATTAGAACCAAGACTCACACCAGGGTCCATGGATGCCCAGGAATATTTTCATGGCCTGAATTCGATTCCAAGTTTTGAAGATCCAGGGCCATCATGCCATATTTCTGCACATGGGATCGATTATAACCCTGGTCAAGGTTGTCGCAGTTCGGCTGAAGATGATCTATATGCTAGTATACATGATAGACTCCGTGCCTCTGAAGAAGATAATCCGGAAGACGATGACCGGGAAGTTGATGCGGAAGAGGTTGAAGAGTCGGAGTCGCAAGATGTGTCTGGTAGTGATTCGGATGAAGAGCATGAAGGTGGGGGTTTAAGAGTAAACCTCGATATGTTCCAAGAGAACAGACGCAATAGCCCAGCTGGCAGCTCTACATATGTGCCAAGAGGAATGGCCTTTTTCTCCGATCTTGGGAGTATAGATGATGATGATATAGAAGAGGAGGATGGATTGGAGCGTATTGTAACATTCTGTGAGGAGAATAACAATATACGTCTCCATATAAGATTTGAGAGTAAGCAGCAACTCAGCCGAGCAGTTAGGATGTGGTCCATCAATAACAATAGGGAGTTCAGAGTTATTGAGGGTAAGAGTAACACGTGATTTGCTAAATGCAAATCATCAATTGAAAGAACTCCTTCCACTTCAATTTTCCCATCGTATCCACCATGCGACTGATGTGTTAGAGCCGTAAAGAAAAAGACCCATGGAATGTGGCAAATTACAAAATGGGTCAATGACCATAACTGCTTGGGCGATATGATTAGAAATAACAATACAAGCCTCACAGCTTCCGTTATTTCAAGGCACATCCTCCGTCGGGTTGAAGATGACCCTGGATTAAAGGTCAAGAACATACTAAGTGACGTTAAAGAAAACTTGAAGGTTGATGTGTCTTACAAAAAAGCCTGGTATGCCAGACGTAAAGCAATTGAGCTTGTGTTTGGATCTTGGGAGGCGAATTTTTCCGAACTACCACAGTATCTTGATGCCCTGGTACAATCCAATCCAGGCACCGTGGTAGAGTGGTCCCATCATTCGGATAGTTCGGATCGAGTTAAGACCTTTAAATATGTATTTTGGGCGTTTGGGCCGGTTATTGAAGCATTCCACATGTGCAGGCCGGTTATATGCGTTGATGGCACTCATTTGCGTGACGAATACAAGGGCAAACTCCTTGTTGCAGTCACTCAAGATGCGAACAACCACGTTCTACCAATTGCTTATGCCATAGTGGATGAGGAGACGATTTCCAGTTGGTCGTGGTTCATGGAACAATTGAGATATAATGTGGCGCTTGATCGACATCCTATCTGTGTCATTTCTGATCGCCACAATGGTATCATCTATACCATGACACACTTTGACTATTGGGAGGAACCTTTAGCGTACCATAGATTTTGCCTGCGACATGTTAGGAGCAATTTGATGACACACTTCAAAGGTTTACACCTTCGCAAGTTGTGTTGGGCAATGGGAAGGGCAAGACAATTACGCAAGTGGCGAATGTTCAGGAGAGAACTGCGAAGCATGTTTCCGGATGCTTGGAATTATCTGTTAGCCATTAGTCCAGAAAAGTGGTGCCTAACACACGACGATGGCCGTCGTTGGGGTATTCTAACTACCAACATATCCGAAAGCTATAATAATGTCTTGCGGGGGGCGCGTCATTTGCCAATTCGTGCATGCATTGATATGACTTTTCATCGGACAGTTGAGTTATTTAAGAGGAGAAGGGAAGAAGCTTCACATTGTCGCAATCCTTTTCCCTCAAAGATATGGCGGCGTTTTACAGTTGCTGAGCGGAAGGCAAGCGCCCACAGAGTCGTTGAGTTCGATGGCCCATCGGGCGTATACAAGGTCATTACAGGGCGGCGTGTCGATGGTAAAGGAGGCAATACGCAAACCATCAGGTTTTTTGATAAGACATGCTCGTGTGGAAAGTGACAGATATACAGGTGTCCTTGTTCACACGCTTTGGTGGTGTGCAGGAATAGAGGTGACAATCCGGGATTGCTTTTTGACCAGCATTTTACCAAGACAAGGTGGGCCGTCCAGTATTCAGGGAAGTTTTTCCCACTGCCGCATCAAGATACTTGGCAACAGGTTGGGTGGGACCTGCAGGCAGACCCGAGCAAATTTGTGAAACGTCGGGCAGGGCGAGTTCGAGCTAGACGAATTCGGAATGAGATGGATGAAAGGGATGCAGACGGACCAAGAAGATGTCGAAATTGTCATCAGACGGGTCACAATAGTCGAAATTGTCCTAATTATAGGTCTTGATTTGATCGACTCCCTAGAGATTGTGGACTAATGTTAGTGCATTTCTTTTTGCTCGTAGGGTTCGAGTTACTTCATTTGTGTAATTTTCTGGATTTATTTTAAATAATTACATTAGTGACTTTCATTGTTCATTAGTCAGAATTGTTGCTTCGTTTTGTACTTTGATATGTATTGAAATAACTAGTTTACACGTGCAGCCCAACAGTTTTATTCATTGCTCGCTAAATCCCCTATCCATTGATTTGTAACTTATTTGTTAAAGGAATGCTTGGAAGGTGTGTTATATATGTAAGCACTCTTGCATGTACAGGTGGCAATTTATTTTTGTATATATTTTGGCAGGGAGTTATGGTCGCTTTATAGGGGTGATTCTGTCGTATTTTGATATTAATTGGTAAAATATAAATACAAATACATTGCTGCACGCTATGAATACATAGAGGGATAACAAATGTTATTAAAAAAATATAAATACAAGGTAAAGAGTTTTAGGCGATGTATAACGGATATATGGTCAAAACTTGCTAAAATTTTACATCCCTACCTTTTTTGATTTGTCAAAAAGTGGATACAGCATACTTTTTGGATATTACTTATTCATTGTTCTTGCAATTTAATCGTTGCAGATATTTGCCTGGGATTATGGCCGACACCCCTATCCCTGCAGGCCTACATCCAGGACCATTCGTGCACGACATTATATCGGCGAGAATTGCACACCGGGCACATTCCATTTTTCACGGACATATTCAAGGCAATCAGTTAGATGTCAGACGCTGTGACAGAGAATTTTGGGAGCATACGCCTATTCCTGATCCGGTTTGTCGTTATATTGCCTTGGCTGGATTTGTGGGGGTGCTAGAGAGTGGATATTAGATGGTTGATCATTCTTTGATCACAAGTTTAGTGGAGAGATGGCGGCCCGAGACGCATACATTCCATTTACCGGTGGGAGAAGCTACCGTGACATTACAGGATGTAGAGGTGTTGTGGGGTTTGCACATCGATGGTCCACCGGTTATAGGGGTAGACACATACCGCAGCATTCAGGAGTGGGGAGCCATCTGTGAGGAGCTCCTTGGATTTTCTCCTGCAGTTGGATACTTTGATGGACAGAGGCTAAAATTGGGATGTTTAGCAAGAGCCTTGGATACAGAGTTGCCAGCCGATGCTTCAGATGCCGAATGTAGGCAGCGTGCGCGCATCTACATCCTACTGATATTAGGTGGACATTTATTGTCGGATAAGTCCGGAAACAAAGTCCCTTTGTTGTATCTTCCATTACTGCGGGACTTGGAAACTGTTGGGCAATATAGTTGGGGTAGTGCGTGTTTGGCGACTCTCTATCGGTCACTTTGTGATGCCACGCATCCTGCCAAATCGGTTATTGCCGGTCCCTTAGTTTTGCTACAGGTACATTACACTCAATAGGAACATCAATCTTCGATTTTTTTCATTTTATCATTTTGCAATTCTAACATTGATTATAATTTTCTAACAGCTCTGGATTTGGGAACATATACCAACCATGCATCCGGACAGAATCGCGCCGTTGGAGCATTACCCTGGTCCATATGCAGCTAGGTGCGCGTTTCGCACCCATTTAGGTTTTTTTAATGGCATTTGATAATCCAACCAACTTCAATTTGCTTAAGCTTGGTTTCCTGCTTTATTAAATATAGGTGGAATAATGACTTGGACGTACACAGAATTGTTAGGCATGTTGTGCCCGCATTCCGAGATCAGCTGACAGGACTGCGTCCTGAAGAGGTATTGTACATATGTCCGGACAATAGGCCTTTGTCAAAATCGTGCCATTCGTCTTTTCTGCCAATGTCTGGATAATTCAAATCATAAGTTTGTCATACTGCATTACATAGGTGGAAAAAAATGTTTGTTGGCAGGGAGTTAACCTCCAGTAATGATGGTTGTTTAGACTTTGATTTGCATGTTATGGCCAAAAGTGCCTTTTTTTGTGTAAAAAAAGGAAAAACGTGTTTGGAACCTCACCCTTCGATTTGCAATGTAGCAGTGTTTGATGTGTTTTACGAGATTGGATATTATACTTTTGGTAAATTACATGTGCGTGGGAGGTTAGATGGCCTAAAACGTTTGTCTCCCGCGTGTTTTGGAATTGTTTAGCAAGAGTGCGAAAAATGGTTGAAAAATTGCAGTTTCTGCTATTATTGCAGAGAACTACAGATCCGAGCTCGGATTGTAAGTGCACAGACGGATCCGAGCGCGTATCCATTGATCCGAGTTCGGATCCAAAAAATTTCAAATAAATCCGAGGGTTCGTCTGTGCTTCCGAAGGTGTGGATCCGAGCCGTGACGGATCCGCACCCTTTCAGGTTCGATACGAGCTCGGATCGGTTTAGTTTGCTCCCTTTGTTGTTTATAGCGAAGTTCTATTTTTCTTGTCGAAATCATTCTTTCATTTTTATATTTTTTTCAGTTCATATGGCAGCCATATTCGGAGGACGTTCTCGCTTCTCTTCCTGCGTATTGTACTGCAGGTCGGAACATTTGGAGGTCCGTAACGTATCTTATCTGCTGGGATGTAGTTGAGCCGCACCTCCCGCATCGGGTTATGCGGCAGTTTGGATTATATCAGTCCCTGCCTGCTATGAGGTTAACGGATAATCAAGCGCATCTACATTCTATAGATCGCCGTGGTAGGGCGAATCAAGACTGGAGCACCACGCATAGACAATATCTTGATATTTGGACTGATCGACATGTGCATGTACAAGACGGCACTGTAATTGCAGATACTACATATCCATCGGATGAGTATGTTCAGTGGTATCGGGAGCGGACGGTGATTTATATCTCAAATCCGAGTCAATTTCCCGCTTTCCCAGAGGGCTTTCAGGGTGATAGCGCTAGGGCACAATATCTTGTACAGTTTGTTTCCAACTCACTGTTAATAATCACTTTGAGCGTATTCACTGTTTAAACTAATTTTTACCCCAGTATCTCATTTGAGCGTATTCATTCTAATTCTTATATTTGTTTTTGCAGAGCGATGCCATGTCTCGAATGTATTTCATGGCACAGGACTCTCTTGTAGTTAGTGATGAACAACACAGCGGATACTTTCAAGAGTTGAGCGACTTTGCATCCACGTCTTTGCATCATGTAGGAGAGTCACGCCGACTTGCATTCCGCCCTCCACACGTACCACATGATATTCCACTATACCCTGATACATGTCGTGTCCAGCGAGCTCCTAGAAATACCCAGGGAAGTCAGCATGGCGGTGGCCGACGTCGTAGACTCCGATCACCAGAACCAACCATACAGACTACCTTCCATGGAGGTTCGATGGCTACGGAAGACCAAGCTGGCGCATCTACTTTTGTCACACCTCAGACCGAAGGCATGCATGGCAGAGGTGTATCGATTGGGCAATCTCACAGGTCCCCTGTGATGTACACAGAGTTTAGAACCGATAGGGACTCACATCGCCATGTTTCTGAGCAATGTGAAGGAGGTGAAGGCACAAGCACTGAAAATCAAGATGCTACACTGTTATCGCATATTACTCAGGTCCATACAATAGTGCCAAACCAACCACGTCGAAGCCAAAGAATACCCAAACCAACAACATGTGGTACTCATGGGAAACTTGGGCACCATTGATTGCACTAATGGTATTGTTATTGTATAAATAACCTTACTTATGGATTACATACTTTTGTTTGTGACATTTTTTTATATATTCTAAATTTTCAGGAATATGAGTGTTCCAACGCGAACGAGTTATCTTAGTTCTCACTTTATATGAGTACTCTTTTAAACACTACCAAAAAACTGCAGTTATATGAGTATTCTTATGCATTATACAGCCCTACACCTCTATTTTATACATATGAAATCAGTTAGATATCGGAACTTCGATCTTGAATGTTCGTTCAAGAACACGTGTCAAAAGGCAGTTTTTCTTACCAAATTGGGTTTTAAGTGCTCCTAGAAATTCCATTGCATATACATGCACTGTGCATTTCAAGTGAATTTTGGTGATATCATGGTTATAAAAGCATACTTATTCATTTTATATGTATTTAATGCCCAAAAATGCCCTTTTAGTGTAAAAGTGAAAAAATGACCAAAGTTCCTCACCCCCCGAATTTTAGGCATGTAAATGTGTTTGTTGTGTTTTGAGAGGTTGGATATTGTGTTTGTGGTATATTACATGTGCGTTAGTCTTTAGAATTGATCCATGTTTGTCCAATTTCCGAATTGGAAGTGGCCGGAAAAAGGAAAAAAAGTTCCAAAAAATTGCAGTTTCTGCAATTATTGCAGAGAATCAAGGATCCGAGCTCGGATCACAAGGTGCCCAGATAGATCCGACCACGGATGAAAGATCCGAGCTCGGATCCAGTTCAACCCAGATAGATCCGAGGGCTCGTCTGTCTTTCTGTTGAGAATGATCCGAGCCCTGTCGGATCCGCGACCTTACTGAACCGATCCGAGCGCGGATCGGTTCGCGGATATAGCAGAAACGAAGCCTCGTTTCTGCTATTTTTAAAAATTTTCTTCCCTCTTCTCACCGAAACCCTACCCCTTTCTTCCAATCTTCCAATTTAACCATCAATTATCCAATCTTCCATCATAAAAACCTCCAAAAACCTCTTCTGATCAGTAACCCCAATCTGTTTTACCAACAAACAACATCAAACAAGGGTTTTGATCTTCAAAACCTCATTTCGGGCCATAGCTGATATCCTCAAATTGGGGGGTATTTTGGCTTGTTTCTGTGTAAAATTTTACACCATTTTCATCCTCCATTATCAATCTACACATTTGAGGTAACAATTTGCTCATTTCTATCACATTTTTTAATTTCTTATTCTGCAATTTTTATAGTTTTTGGGAATATGATGATAAATGCATGTTTGCTGGGATTTCTTGATATAATTGTGCCACATTGTGCTTAACGAGATTGTTACAGCTATTTTCATGCTTATTTTTTTCAAAACTGTGGATTTGGTGATATTTTTAAGAGTTTTTCTCAATTTTTGGGCATGAGCATTTTATTTATTTAGACTTGTGAATGTTCGTTTTCATTGAATGAATGAATTTGATCTGAATTAATGAATTTGATGCTGAATGAATGAATTATGATTATATTATGTCCGAAGTATGAATTGTGAATGAATGAATTATGATTATATTATGAAACAATTATGAATTGTGAATGAATGAATTATGATTATATTGGCATATACATTCTGCATAAAAATTTCTGCCTGCAAAATTTTATCAAGTTGAACATGAAACTATCTCAGCATATAAAAATGCATCCATTATATGGTGTAACTTAGAACTGCGAGGTATAGTATTATAATATGAGAACCCTAATTCAATTTGTTTGTGTTTTACTTGATGTATTCTGTTAACAATGAGCTTCAGTAGTCTATCTAGGATATTTGGTTGTGTTTTTTTGGCACATGTTGGCAGGGAGTTTAGCCCTTTTACAAGGGGAAACTCTGCCGAAATTTTCTAAAATTCTTATTTAACAAGTGTGAGCAAGTTTATCCGTTTTCTAATGAACGTTCAAAGCTTTTTGGTATAGGTATTATGGCTCGCACAAGGAGGGCTCGCATTCGTACTCCTACTCCTTCCTCAAGTGAGGAACACACACCCTCTATGCACGAGGAGTCATCTGAGCAAGAATCTTCCTCACCTGAGTCGCCACCTCGTTCTCGCCGGAAGACCGCATCTACTAGCCGTGACGAGCCACCGCCGGACTACGATACCACACGATTCATATCGCTCGAAAACCAAGAGTGGTATGAAGCCGGACTGGACAAGGAGATCATCATTGAGAAACACTTGGCACCGGAGGTGGACGCGCACTATCACATTTC